AAAAGAAAATGCGACACAAAATCCGCGGTATTGCGAATGGAGATCCGACTTTCACACCATCGATCGGTGTTGGATTCTTGAGATGTTCTTTATTCCTGACTGCGCAAAAACTAAAAAAACTCACAGAAAAAAATAGTAGGCTGTCATAGCACCTAGGATGTTAAAAATGTGTCTGGTGATCCCAAGATGCTGTCTTAACATGCCTGCAGAGTTAAATTTCCATTCACAGGATGTAAAGTTAACTGCGAGGGCAGTAAAGACAACAACTTCGGATCACCAGACACATTTTTAACACCCCAAGTGCTAAAGCAGCATATTATTTTTTTCTGTGCTGAAATGCCATTTTTCGACTCGAGATTGGGTATTTGTGAATAATTTCCGCGAATAACGCCTCTCGCTGTTGTGCGGATCGAAAACAGCGAAGACATCGCGATCAGTCGATGTTAAAACCCGAGGAATCCATTTCTGATGAACCCTGAGTTTCATAAGAGTATCTGTATCCGAGGGCTCATCGGATGAAGGACATAAGCGGTTTCAATATAGCCTCGAATCGGTGCGAGCACGTGCACGAGAGGAGACGTACTTACGCGTACGCACGCTCGAAATTCCCTCGCAGTGTTGCCATTTTAGACGGAAAAAGTCCGGGTTTTCCCCGTTGTTTTATGGAAAACCACGCGCGTTCGCGCCAAAATTGATCACCCTGCAATTAGCGTTGTTGTTAACGGGTTTCTTTGGATTTTAATGATCAGTCGAATGTTTGTCAGTCTTGTTTACAAGGCTGTAATTTAATCTCCTGATCAAAAGCAGTGACTCGCATGGAATTTTAGATGCATATTACTGGAGGTGCCATTTGGGTAAATGAGCCGTTTTACTCCGTCTCCCAGAGACAATATATCAGGGTGTCCACCGGTCCCTAAAAGTCCCCAATGTCCCCGATTATCCTCGATTTTGGAAGAGTCTCCCCGATATCCCCGAAAGTCCCCAATTTTCTTGTTCAGGTCCCCAAAAAATGATGAAAATCGTCCTAAACACCGGCATTTGCAAATTTTCGGCGGCGCGGTGTAACCAGGAATATAAAAACTGAAGCGTCGGATCGCTTGGTTTTTTGGATGTTTTCATCGGTTCAACATGACTTGTATAGTTAGTCGTATAAAATACACCTTTTAACGCTCTAACTATAGCTCCCTTTCTCTTACTGTTCGGGAAAAATGTCCCCGATTTTCTTGAAAAAAATACCCCTAAAAGTTCCAAAAGTCCCCAATTTTGGTTTTTCATAACTGGTAGACATCCTGGATATGTATTTAAGAGATCCCGTTCTGCTATCCTCCCAATGGTGTATACGCGTGGTCTCGCACTTTCAAAATCGAAATATGTCCAATTGATGGACTTAAATTTTCGATACCGGTGCTACCGGTTCTGGCTCATTTTAGAAAAAAAAACCACATTTGCCATCATAATCCGTGAGTACATAATGATCCCGAAAAATGTAGATCCCTAATGCAAAGTGTGGCGAAATCATGATCGTAGATCCCTCATTTTTGCAGCAGACGAGTCTTGCTGCGTGTAGTCTAAACTGCCGCGTGCTTATGGCCTGGTTACACGCTCAAACTTCCGTCAAATTCCGATCAAAATGATGACCAAGATGGCGGTCGAGAGTTATCTAGATTGATGAGTAAAATTACTTAAAACAGCGTGTTGATTGAAATAAGCATGGAATAAGCACGGTTGTGGGGAAATCAGATGAAGGATGAGCCCCACAGCTCCATCATCTACCATCAAATGTTTGCAGGCCGCAGAAATTTGATGGTAGATGGTGCGCACCAGTCACCATTTGATCGGAAATTGATGGAAATTTGAGCGTGTAACCAGCACATTAGGAAGAACGCCGCAAGAGCTTTCAGACATTGCCATATTTCCTTTAAAAAAACGAATTAACTGGGGAAATTGTGAAGAATTTTCTTCAAACTTTCCAGACTATTCTGTTGTGAATGTAATCTGAAATATCCGAAAAATTTTAAGGAAAAATATGCATAAATTTTCTAAAATATATGTTTTATCCGGGGAAATTTGGCAACTCTTTAATTTTCAAACAGCGTTCTTCCCTAGCACGACAGTAACGGCAATAATTTATTTAAAAAAAAAGAATCCGCTCGGGAAACAGTTTGGTAACCTGACGATTGCTGACAATGAGTTCTACAGTATTTTCACGGTCAAATTATTTTTGCCTATTGAAGGTCGAATTTTCGGCAGTCTTCTAGAAAGTGCTTATTATAGACACAATCAATTCTCGTACGCTGTGTTTGTAAATACGCGACCGCAGGCAATTGCTCCTTGCGCATTCGTGGAATGATTAGCGATTCATGTGTGATTAGGGACTCTGGCGTAGCTCGGACATTAAACAGCAGGCGATGAAAAGATTAACTCGATCTGGAAAAATTATTTACCTAAAAACTGATCGGAAGGATTCATGCAGGAGGTGCCCAATTACATCGTGACTTTGCGCGGGTTTTCGTTGAATTAATCATTTATTTATATCTCCTCAAGAACAGTTGCAATTTTTTCCTAAGAATTTTCGTTGAACGGTCTTTGTGATCCGGAGAACATTTCCTTAAATTTTCGGCTTGAAATGTGAATCAGTTAAGAAATGAATCAACCGACTATCAGATGAAAATTACTTTGCAATGTTATAATGAAATCTAGGGAGGTCATTTTTCCTAAAAGTAATCTCCTGCCACAAGGCTTTCTAATACTTCTTTTCTATACACATTTTTTCATCCAATTACAGTTCGTCTTACAAGTATTGATGTCCTAATGTTCTTCTGACTTTTAGACGAAAAATTGCATTTAACTCATTTGTGATATCTAAGTGCTTGCCGCCAATGATTGAATCAACAAGTTCATTAGAAAAAATCTGTCCAATACAACGAATAAAATCAAAGTACAAGTTATCGACTCAACTCAATAAAATCGTGATTTACGCAAGAGGGTACTTATCAGATTGCGATTTTGCCGGTTTGAGTGCTTCAGTTTCATATTTTAGAATTTAACTTCGAGAAAGACGCATGATATGTGAAATAATGCGGTGAGTACAGCACGACATCAGGATGATATCTAGCGAAGAGTTCGTCATCGTCCATAAGTTCGTGTGCTTTTCGAGTAGATCGCGCTCCCCGGTACTTATTGTTGCCTATACGGCCAAATTGAAGGAGAACTTCCGATGGAAAATGCCTATGTATGTTTGTTGAATATGCAGTGAAATTGAAGGCGAGATTCAAATGAACGATATCTGTCAACATTATCTTATATGATTGCATTTTTCAAAAAGGAACCAGAAGAATTGCAATGATGCTAAGATTGTGCATTTTCATCCTTTGAAATGAAATTCCTGGAACTATGAAAAAATATGAAATTTACATGGTAATTTTTGTCTTAAATTTACGGTTTTAGCGAGTAAAATGGAAACTGTTAATGGATAATCAGGTGTTTTTTTCTAAGACAAAAGAAGTTGCACAATCTTAGCAACATTGCAGTGCTCCTGGTTCCTTTTTGCAAAATGCAATCCATATCGTCTTATTGATTCAGTTGAAGCATCCCCTGGGATTACTAGGTTTCCGAATAAACATTGTACAGTGAATCCGATAATTATCGTTCCTCCTCGCTTCTCAATATTTTTTTTCTCTTCTTTTTCCCTCTTCTTTTTCCTTCCTTCTCATTGTAGCGCCCTTGTTGTGATGGCACTTGCTGCAACCGCTTTTCATACACCCGTGCCACCATTACTCTAACCCTGGTAATTAATTGTGAATGATAACAAATTTCAAATTTTCAAAGCGCCTTCAAACAATGATGATACTCCGCAATACACCGGAGCCTGAATAGTTGTATCATGGGAACTAGCTTGTCTGATATGAAGTGCAAGAACGCCTTAAAAGTGTTCGAGTGTTTCTTTCTTCCGTTTTTTAAAACGCCTTCAAATAGCGATTATACTCCGCAATACACCGGAGCTCGAATAGTTGTATCACGGAAACTTGCTAGTGCGGTATCAAGTGCGCGAATTGGACCGAGTTGATCAGCAAGGAATCAACTTTTTTTGGAAAACTAAGAGTCTGCTCGTAGAATTTAATTTACTTTTCTGATACGGTGGGCTGATTATTTAGATTCATGGACAAAAGGATAGACAAAGAGGAAGACGGGAAAATGGATCGATCGTATCGGTTGAAACAAGGGGTTGCCGTAGACTACGGGGGGAAAAAGATGGAATAACCATAGGATTCCTCGTATGTCGCGTCGGTTAGTCTATCCCTCATCCAGTGCAACCATCTGCTTCCACCAACAGGATCGCTCCATTTTCCCTTTATCTTCTGTGTATATCGCATTGTCTATCAAAATCAATGATTAGCTCTCAAGAGAGTGTTTTCTCTCGGAATCTTATAAATCAATGAATGACTTGACAGGGACTGATTATTGAAATTGATAGACAGAGCGATCTGATTGGTTGAACCGGGCGATTGCTATAGACTTGGGGGTTTGATTCAGACACTTCGAATGGGAGGGGCAGAGAGGGGGCCCACGGGGCCTTCCCCAGGAAATTTTCGAAATTTTAAAGCATCTCGTATCCAGTTTAAGTCAATTTAGTCATGAATAGTTACCAAATCTGAGCTGCCTTCCTACTTCTTCCCTCCGTTCTTTCGTCTTTCATCCTTCCCTTGTTTTCCCTCCATTTTTCCGGCCTACGCCCCCTACGCCCCCCCCCCCTGTTGGATCTACTTTTGCTCCCTTGTTCATCGCAACCACCCGTTTCGTCTGATAGGGTCGTTCCATTTTCTCTTTATCTTCTTTGTCTATCGCTTTGTCTACGTACATATAAGTCTGCTACATATACGACTGTTACAAAAGAAGTGCAGGAGCCCTGTGAACAGAGCTATTTTTTTCAGTGCGGGCTCAATGGGCCTCCTGGTGGGCCGTTTGGCGTGAGGGTTTTCGGAATGAGGGGTGGAACTTACTAGATCTCGATGAGCTCGCAGTTGACGAGGACCCTCCGCTCGACGACTTCGATAACGGCGATCGTCTGGTCGTAGATGTAGATGAGCCGGGAGGTGTCGTTGCGGCGTCGGTAGCCGCTGAAGCCCTTGAACTCGGCCGACCTCCCCACGCCGAGCTGTCGGCTGTCCCTCCCCGGCGCTACCGGGAACAACTGGGCGTCCAACGGGAACACCGCGCTCAGCCACAGCAGCCCCGTCACCACCATCCCCAACTCCGAGCGCCACTGCCAACTCCGCCGCCAATCCTCCATCTTCAGCACACCACTACACACCCAGCCACTACGTTGATCTTTGTCCTTTCACACACACGCGCGCGCGCACACCGAGTTTCAAACGATTGCTTGCATGTTGTATCGCATGTATTTTGAAGCACTCAATGAAGTATACCACGAGATCGTTTTTCAAGAATATTCGCACTGATAGAATGAAATAAAATAAAAATGGATAAAAGTGAAATTCACGCAGTGGTTTTTATTTCAGAGACAGTCGCGTGATGCACTGGGTAAAATGTCAAGGCACAGGGGTTGATCCTCCTCGCGACGGAAGAAGGATTCATAAAAGAAGAAAACAATGCGAATTAAATCGGGATTTTTAAATTTTTAAAGCATTGAAATGCGTGTGCCCCTGTGGTGAGTTGCGAGATCAATGAAATTTGTCAGAAAATAACAAAACAAATGATTGGTGGCACGGTAGTGTTCCGCACTGTATTTTTTTAAATTTTCAAAACACTGAATTATGCAATTTAGTTTTATTTTGGTTTATCAAAAATTGCACCCGGCAGAAAGAGAAAGAAAGGTACCAGAAGCAGAGAAAATTACGTAATTTTAGAAACTGCTCTTGCTATCACTTATCACAATCGGTGAGTGGACTTGACATTGAAAATGAACCGAAGAGTGTTTTCAGGTAAACATTGAAAAAGACCACCGAAATAAATATTTTTTACAGATGATGAGTCGGGAGGAAAAATCTGAAAAATTTTAGACAAATGCTCAAGAAACACTCGCGAAATAAAATTACGAAAAATTATTTCCAGTCAGCAACAGGTGAAGCAGCGTCTTCACGATTAAAAGTTGAAAAATCCAAAATCCAAAACAATGGCAACAGAGTTAACATTCGGTCATTGCGTACTTTCAACCGATCCCAGGTAAACTCAAGAACAGTAATTTTCCGGCGTCACTTTTCGGATGCACCGATCGACGAGGTGGACCGAGAATCGATAGATCGGATCGCGGACGACGAGTTGCGACACTGGAAGCGGCACCGGACAGCGGACGTCCACATCCGGGTGCGACGAAAATTCGCGACGAAATCCGCACGAAATCGCGATGATCCGAAGCGGCGACGGATCCAGCGTGTTCCGTCGCGATCGCGGTGCGAGCGAGACTGACTCTACGCGTCGAGTCGCAGCTCGGCCGTCGCCACTCTCAAGCGCACAACCTCCTATCTCCCGCTCGAAACGCCGGGAGGATAGGCGGTTCTACCCCCGCTCCGGCGTCCGACCAACTTTCTCGTCCGTCCGTCCGGCCAAGTGCACGAACGGCCCGAGGGCCGCTCCCNGGGGGTCCGCAATGGAACCGGCCGCCGCCGCGTCCAAGTCGTAGCGGTCCGCTTACTTTCCAACAGATCGATTGACTGGCCGAATCCTCGAGTGACGTCACGGGACGGTCCGGTCCTTTCGTAACCAAAGATGAGACTCGTACTCTGCCGTCCTACGGAAGAACGCCGTATGAACATTCTAAGGTTGCCAAACATGTATTTTTGACAACATGAGATAGATACACTGGAAAAAAATTCTCGGCGTTTTTACCAAGGTCCGTTGGTACCTTTACCATCTCACTTTTTTTTTACCAATTATTGGTAATTTTGCCAAGACAGACTGGTAAGCTTACCTAAAAACCGGTATTTTCACTGTTTTTTTTTCAGGTAAGAATACCACTTTTATTGGTAATCAATTCCCGCGGTAACGTTGCCATTTTATCTCGGTAATTCTACCATAGTCGATAAAAAATATTGGCGTTTTTACGAAGGTCCAGTAAAATTACCGAGAAAGTTCAATCATTTTACCGAGATTTCTCGGTAAAATTACCAATTTCATAAATGGTAATTTTACCAAGAAAAAACTGGGATCAAATTGAACCCTGAATTCTTGGTAATTTTACCCTTTTCTTAGTAAATACACCGAGATTTTTTTTTCAGTGCGGAAGAACGCCGTATGAACATTCTGGGGTTGCCAAATTTCCCAGGATAAAGCATGTATTTTTGACAACATGAGATAGATAGTCATTTCTTGACTTGATTGTCATCTCAACTCGGCCAGGCACTTGGATTCCTCTAGAAGAATGAGTCTAATCAAATGGAGACTTACGACCCAGAAATCTCGGTGAAAATTGGATGGTATTATCTCCGGCAACCTGGACCGGTTTGCTAAAGACTAAGAGTGCTGAGTCGGCGGGTCGTAAAAATTCCGATGAAACTTGGTACTCTCAGACTAGACTGAACCAGGTAATTAAATCAGGACTTTTCATGAAAATCCGCTGACTTTTCACAGGTGAACGCATTGATGCCGAGTGGTAAGCGATAGCATGGAGGAAAGACAGCTAACATTTTTGCAGTTAATACCGCTTATCAGAAAAGGGGTTTTTTACCGACAGTAATGAAAATATTGGATGCATCTGAGAGGCACACAATTTAAAATTTACAGGAAAAAAAGCTTACAAATATGCTCAAGAAAAAGTAGCAACTCTGAGGACAAGATGCATGAGTAAAGTTTTTGAAAAAAGTTTTTTTAAAAGATTTATTGATGATTTCATGTAAAATTGATGATTTCATGTAAAACTAGTCTTAATGCATATTATGTGAAAAAGTCGCTTCCAAATTCCAATTTTTAAGCATCAAAAAGTCAAATTGAACTTTCTCTCCGTCATAAGGGTCCACGTAATTTCGACGCTTCAAACACGTGTTTCTCGAAATGGCAAAAACTGCACTTATGCGCCTTGTCTACCAAGTCCCTCAAATATCTTATGGTATTTTCTTAAAAGAAAAATACATCGAAATTTTGTTGATTCTCCCAATTCGTTTAATCCTTTTATTCACAAATTCATTCATCACAGCAGTGTACACCCATACACTAGGTGTGATACACGCTTTTTTACTGCTTGTGTGACATACAATACGCATTATAAAATGTGGGAGTAACTATGCTATGCACTACCGCGGTCTGATAATAGACGAGGAAAATTTGACGTATGAACAAATCTAATTGATTTTTGCTAATCTCAAGGCTTAACCATCAAAACAAAATTCTACGATCAGTTCAATGGACTCGTTCATTATTCAGAACATATCAAAGATTTTTCCGTCGATGTTCCAAAATCCAATTTTTGGATCTAACTCACAAAAAAATCGCTCTACATGAGATTTCGCAACTGTGGAATCAGACCCCTCTCTCCCTTGGATGGTATTTTTTATCTGAAATTCTGAGATAGATGTTTCACCACTGTGCGGCGCTTAGCGCGACATTCAAGTTTCAATGTTGCGTCGAAATCACCTCGTGTTTACATACATAATTAATTAGTCATACTTACAAATCTGATGTGACGCATGTTTTTGCACCAGTTTTTCTTATATTTGCCCAGAATTCTCCTCACATCCCAAGAGAGTTTGCACGCTCTTACGGGACCGCACTGGCATATCGTCGGTGAGACTGCAAAAATGCGCATCTCAGTTGCGGCGTTTGAAAATCTCCACTACCTACTATTTTATCTTTTAAAAGGGCTCCAAACTAACGTCTTAGTTTAAAATTTTATCGGAATATTCTTCACGTATAGAGAAGAAAATTCCCCGAAATTTTCAAGGAATGATGATGAGCAGTTCTCCATGTAGAAATTGAAATATGACAGGAAGTCTGCAACGCCGCAACCGAGACACACATTTCTGCAGTTTCACGTGGAAGGAAAAAGGCAAAGGAAAGTTAAAATGTGAGAGGGAACTCAAGACTGGACGTGCGGAGAGGAATCCAAAGGGGCAATTTATCCGTAAAGTCCATCAAATGTCCTTCCTCTAGATTTTTTTCCCGAGAAAAAAAACTTTTTGGATGAAGGGGAGAGGTTTTTTACTCCTCCTTCCTCCCATTGCACTTGAGTGCTTCCGAGGTAGCATTCCCCGACGAAAATAATAAAATAACGTTGTAATATTTTGCAGTAAAATTGCAATATGAAGTTATGAAGTTGCTATAAATTCGTTGATAAATGCCAAATGTTAATTAAATCAGATGGAAGATGTGCATTTTGCGATGCAAAAATAGACTGCAGCCCATTTCAATTTCAAGCAATTAAACTCGATAAAGGAACCCCTTCAGTTACAGGATAGGCAACATTCACAACAGTCCTCTAGAACATACTGTAACAGTTTTAACCGCTGCTACCGTAATTGCAAGGTTTTGCTACCTGTACAACCTGATTTAGAAGTAAAGCGTCACTTTGGAGGGTCGAAATATCATCCCAATGCATTCTATTGGGCGAAATTGTGATGTATTAACACTGCTACGTGACGCAATTGGATGAGATTAGTTGTGATTTAAATATGCGCGCCCTTCGCAGTGGCACGCAACTTGTGTTCGGGATCCAAGTATGTCAATGCCACGTCGCGTCGCGTCGACAGGACTTCTCGATGGTCCGTCTGACGTAAGATCATCTCCATTTCCACATGAACCCCGGGAAGTATGGAGTTATACGGAGAGCAGGATTCAATTGAAAATTAAGATACGACCACTATAGTCAGAGAAGAGACGATTTGTCAAATGTGAAGTGGACGCTGAGGTCCAAACCGGGATTCAATTACTGTCCAAACTACGTATAACCAAGAATGGCAGTGCTAACCAGCGTGCTAAGGAGAAACGCCGTATGAACACTCGAGAGTCGCCAAATTTCCACTCAGGAAAGAGTTATTTTTGACGAAAGTTATGAATATTTTTCCTTGAAATTTTCAGGAACTTCAGGTGAAATTGAGAACAAAATTATCTGAAAAATTGGAGGGACAATATTTACAAATTATCCAGACAATTCGTGATTTATCAAAGGAAATTTGGCAACGCCTGAAGGTTCATACGGCGTTTTTCCTTAGCCCGGCAGCCTGGTTGTGTCTGCTGTTTGTTTCTCTGCTTGCGCGAGTTCCAGTCACTAAATCTGATCAGTAAGTAAGTGCAGGCCCGCCACAAGGGGGGGGGGAGGGGGGGAGATACTGAGTCCCTGGTACCGGGGCCCGGGTCCCCGAGGGGGCCCTTGTTACCCGTGAAAAACCACTACGAATTCACATGCAACCCTTGTTTCGTAAGAAAAAGTGAAAAATTTACCCTAAAAATTTCGCAAAAGGTGAATAGATTTTCAGAAACACGCTGGGATACTGTAGAATTCTTCTTAAATTTTCAAAGAAGTATACTTCTTGGAAAATTTCTATCTATTTTCAAGATTTTCAGTACAGAGGGATATTTTTATATGTAGTAACTGCGTTTCATTTTCTTCCGTCGTCAGATGCTAAGAGTCTCCAGTCTGGGCATCCTCGACTTCAATGGCTCAAGGCTCAACTCCCTTGCCATAGACAAACGAAGGGGGAGTCCAGGGGGGCCTGGCCCTCTTAGGACTAAAAAATGTACGTATCATATGCCCCCCCCCCAAAAAAAATAAATATTTTCCAGATGTTTTGAATGCAACAATTC